CATCATCATCAGCAGTATCATCATCATCAGCATCAGCATCATCATCATCATCAGCATCATCATCAGCATCATCATCAGCATCATCATCAGCATCAGCATCAGCATCAGCATCAGCATCAGCATCATCATCGTCATCATCATCATCATCAGCATTTTTATCATCATCATCATCATCAGCAGCATCAGCATCAGCATCGGCATCAGCATCATCGTCAACATCATCATCATCATCATCATCATCATCGTCACCACCACCACCATCATCATCGTCATTACCTTTTTCTTCTCCATCATCATCTTCATCATCGCCATCATCTTCATCTTCATCTTCGTCTTCATCTTCATCTTCATCTTCTTCATCATTATCATCATTATCAGCATCATCATCACAGTCATCACAGTCATCGCCATCATCATGGTGCAAGCAACTGCCTGTCTACCCTGAGAAACCACATCCGACGCTTCCTCCCTTCGTCCGGCTGCGTGTGAGGTTTATCGCGAGCGCGAGGCCCGAGGGGGGAGGGAGGTCGAGAAGTACCGAAGCTCGTGCTCATAAGGAGTCGTGGGCTTCGTAAGCCTGCCACATGCGAGACCTGCAGCACCGCGTTCTGTCGCAGATCGTCTGAAGTCTCCTGGCACAGCCTCTGCCTGCAGGAGCTGGGCCGCCTGCTCTTGCCTCCGCTGCTGAAGTTGCGGCCGGCTCAGCTCCAGGATTCGCTGATTCCCTTGGCTGGTCCGGAGCGGAGTGCCAGTCTTTTTGGCCCCCAGTGCTCAGAACTCTTCAGATCAGATGAGCAAGGTTTCTCCTCTTGAAGTGTCGCCACTTCATGGATGAAGACAAGACTCTGAGATTCAGGGGCTACTGTAATGAGCACAACCACGGCAGGTACGCTGTCCGTCGTTTGTATGATCGTCACTGCCAGGAGTGTCGTGGTGATGAAGATGCCTATGCTGATGACGATCATCGTCATCTTCTGCTTCATCACCACCATCATCATCTTCTCCTTCATCATCATCATCATCCTCATCGACTCCTTCCGCTACTTTCGACAATCCTTGCGACTGCCCCGTGGTCTGAGTCTGACCCGAAGCTCCCTTGCCCATGGGCTCCCCAGGCTGAAGAGCAGCGGCCTCTCACTGGCGCACCTCGGCTTGGGTTTTGGGGCTTTTTGAGGTTTTGAGGCGGGTGTTCAGAGAAGGGCTGTCGGTCTCTATGTCTTTGGTTTTGGGATTTTAGGGTTCTGTTAAATGTGCAGGTTGGACTGACCAAGCTAGAGTCAGATGGAGTTCGGTCGCCGTGTTTTCGTTTGTGTACTGGGGTTGCTCAAAGTCGTCAGCTCTTTGTGGGAAATGAGATGTGATCTCCCCCACAACCCCACCTACAGCCCTATCGGACCCCTAAAACCCTCAAACCTTTGTTTTACCCCTCAAAGCCGGTCCTTTGAACAGCTTTAGACCCCAACACTTCTTCAGAGAAGCTCAGGAACACCGTGCTCAGCTTCATCCCAAACACCTCCGAGTTGGCTTTCCTTGGCCTTGCCAAGCAGGCCTCTGCCGCAGGTGTAGGGTTTGGGACGAAGGGTTGGGTCTAGGGTTCGGGGATCAAGAGTTAAGTTTGCAGGGTTTAGGGGTTGGATGAAGAGTTTGCAGGTCTTAGAGTTTGGGATTAAGAGTTTGCCGAGTTTAGGTTTTGAGGTCAGCCAGCTGCAGGAATGGCCGCAAAAAGGCCTAAACATCACCAAAGTGCAAAGCATCCGATAAGCAGAAGGCCAGAATCATATATGCTCATGCTCTTCTTGTGATGCGGTAGTTAGGGGCATTGGAGCCCCTGCCTTGATAAAAAGAGCCGGAATCCCTGGTCCCAAAACCCAAACTCCGATGTTGACACAGGCTCAGGACCACTTGGATCGCGAGAAAGCTGAGCTGGTCAAGGCCGAAGTGTGCTAGTTCCTAGTGCTCCCTGCGCAGTATGAGCCATGGTGTGAGCCATGGTGGATCGGATTGCATGACAATGGACGGCAGTGGTGGTAGACTGGTGGTAGTGGCAGTAGCAGGAGGAGGGGGAGGAGCAGCAGCAGTGGTGGTGACAGCAAAAATGATCAGAGCTAATTTCAGGAAGACTCCACACGTTGCTGCAACTGGGAGTGGCAGTTCAAGGTACTAGTAACGGTCTGGGATGTCACAATCAGAGTGATTGCCCTGCTGCCCAGCTGCTGAGCCCTTCACACGGCTCCCCAGTCATTGAAGTTTTCGAACGAATGCTTCGGAGGGTGCTTTTCTGGGTTTGTAGCAGTCGATGACCAGTGGCATGTAGTCATCGCCGCCTGCTGTGGCGACGAGCAGGTGGCATAGTTTCGAGCAGTGCTTGCAATGCAACAGAAGCAAATGAATGCACCAACAGAGACTCTTCTCAATTAGAAATCAAGCACGCGGGCCTCAAGGCAGCATACTGTTGAGAGGGCCATGGCTGCACAGGCAATGGGCCAAAATGGCAGCGCCGTGAAAATAGACGAGGCGAAGCTTCACGAATTGCTGAGCGCCAAGGCCCGTCCGTTAGGTGGCCCGCTTGTCGCTAATGCTACTGTTCGTTTCGCTACTTGCCCTGCTCTAGCTGGTGCGTCATAAGACGCGACAGTGCTGTCGCGCTACTGCTGCTTCCGGCACTAGCACGACGACAGCTGCTATGCTGTTACCACGATGATGACGACACGACGACCACGACTACTGCTACGACGACGACGACGAATACTGCGCCTGCAATGTCACCACCATGGCCAGTTTTGTGTGAGGATTTAGGGGCTTCTTGAAGAGGGCTGCAACAGAGTCACCAACACCTCACTGTTTTCGCATGTACGGAGCAAGTTCACAAAGTCTGGCGACGGAAGCACCCCGCTGGCGTCGGTGCCTATCCATTTACTGTCAATGGCAGTGTCAAGCCTTTAAGAGCAGAAGCTCACCGCATTTTTTCGCCAATCATCATGCATGTCATCAATGGCATATTTGCCAGTCTCGCGGTCGTCAATGCTCGTTAGTGTTTCTGTGCATCGGTAGTCGAGTTTTGACGCTGGTGCTGGCAGGTGCGCACAGAGAAGGTGGTGCACAAGGATGCGAAGATCCGCACGTTTATCCAGGAGGACAGGCGCCCTTTAGACTTCATGATCCCATTGATGTTGCAAGCGAGTGCAGTACTAGTAGCAGTGGTAATAATAGAAACAGTCACAGTGACAGTTCGTCCCTCTACGTACTCGTTGTCGCAGCAGCACAATCAGCAGTAGTGGCACGAGCCGCAGCAGCAGCTGGCAGCAGGAGCGGTAGGAGTAAGAGTGGGAGTATATTTACCACAGGTGGCACGCAACAGAACTGTAATGGAGGTTTCGTGCAAAGGAGTTCTCTAGCGGCACACCTTGCCAGCTTCAGATTTGAAACATTTGTTGCAAAGAATGCCCAGCAACGAATAGCCCAAAATGGCTGCATGCGGAAGCCCAGAAAACAGGGGTGGAGGACACCCAGCTTTGGCCGCTCGTCTTGGATTACTTTTGCTATGGTGTGGCGAGTAGCGTAGCTTATCATGTTGCGACGACAATCATCACGTGCCCTGCTTCATGTTCGGAGGATTCATCCCGTGAGCACCTCACGATGCACGCCTACGACATCCACTACGGCACGGTGCGACGGGGCCAGGCTGGTCCCTGGTTCGGCATTAATTTTTAACTTGTTGGGCACTGGAGTCCAGTCGAGGCTCTTGTGTTGCAAGGCTTGGAAGACGTTCGATTTTCTATGATCATAGGTTGAGACTGCAGGTCTTTCGAGTTGCCCGCCTGGATTTTAAGCCATTCTCCGGCCTGCAGGGGCACCAACAATTAGTAGAGCAGCATAACATTCATGTAGGTCAAAGAAGGAGCCGTAAAGCGAGCCAGACATAGATGCACTATAACAACTAAGCATGTAAGCACATAGGGTTCAATGCCTGAGCAGTCGAAATTGTGGGTACGACTCCGTATAGGATCGTATAGGTATGTATGTATGTATGTATGTATGTATGCATGTATGTATGTAGGTAATTACATACACATTACGCGACGATTCCCCGTACTGTTCCCGGCATTGCCTTGGCGGGTGCAGTGTCTAGATGGAATACTGGTGATCTTTAGAGCAACACAAGTAATGCCCCGAATTATAGAGTGAGCTAGTCTTGACATAGGTAGCCAGGAGAAAGAACAAGGTTAAGACCACTGACATTACTCGCAGTAACGGCAACCTTCTTTGACGGTTCAGGATGCCGTGGTCGCGTTGGACGACTCCATCGTCCGTGGCAACACCTTGAAGAACGCCATCCTGAGGTGATGCACCGCACGGTTCCCGAGTTGGCTTTGGGGTTTCATGGATCATCAGGCCAGTGCCTTTTCCCCTGCACCGTGAAATCCTCCAACGCTTACAGCCGCCTCAACGTGCCCCACCGTCGATGGTCGCGTCACAGGACCCTGGACAAGATGGGACCCACACAGATCGTTGTTGTGCCCGCAGCCCGGCGAGCGTAGAAGTGACGAGGCTGAGTGCTCCAGGGGCCGACTTCCAGCATCTCTTTCTCCTGCATGTGTCCTGGATTGGGGAGTTGATACCGGAAGAAGACCCGTCTTCTAAATTTTAGCTCATATTCAATCAGATTGGCCGGTGAAGCCCCTCTTTTGGTTGAAATCCCGCTGTGGTTCCAAAGCGCCTTCACGGATCTGACTCTGGAGTTGGCCGGCATCCACGCGTCCCGCTAGTGTTATTTGGGCACAAATCTGAGTCGGATTGCCCTCGCACTTCCAAAGCCTGGAAAGCTTCCATTGGAGCCCTCGTCCCAAACCCTACACCCCCAAACCGAAAGGATTTGGATCGTTGTTACTTGCCCCTGCCTGGTTGAACTTCAAGATTACCTGCAGGCAGGGGCGATAAAAAGAACATCTTTCGCTTCTCGAGTGCAGACTCAAAAAAGGCCCCCCGCAACAAACCTTCCACCGTCTAAGCTCGAACATGTTGCTTTGAGGTCGAGCTGCCCTCAGATTCGATACCCGGACGTCTACGGCATCGCCGAGGGCCCAAGGGACAAGACTTCGCTCGCTGCATAACGCAAGATGTTTTTGATTTTGGAGTCTAGGGCCCAGGGGATTTGAGTTGAGACGGTGGGGTTCGCGTTTGGGGTTTCGGGTTTGGGCAGTGTTGGCTCGAGGTTTGGGAGATGGGGTCAGCTCAGGTCGGGATAAGCATCCAAGTTGAAAGCAATAGCTCTCGTGTTCCGATTCTGGCTACATTGCTGCTCTTGGTGTGGGGTTGACTCGCAGGTAGCACTGCTTCTGTCTTTGCTCTACTTCTTGTAGGTATTGCTGTTGAACCTCTTTGCCTGCAATGATGGAGAAGGGTTGCTTTCTCATCGTCCGCAGAAGGGCATCGAAGATCAGCGTCACCTACGAAGGAAGCTCGGGTCCCGAGATCTGAGACCCTTATTATAAGGACCCCAAAATAAGGTATCCCCGAGAAACTCCCAGATAACTAATATCCCCATCCCATCTGAGCACCCAGGACATGGCCAAGTTGGGAGATTTGGCGGCGTTCAAAGCAGCAGACGCCTCATGGGCGGGTGATGTAGGGGAAGAGTTTCGAGTTTGTTTCTTCTTCATTGAAAGAGCTGCAGGGTTTCTGTAGGACTTGAAGCTTGCAGGGCTGGCTTAGCCTGATCTTCTTGAGGCCTCTAGCAGCTGATACGAGAGTCCTAAACCTGGGCTAGCCTTGGAGCTGGCTCAGTGCTCGTTATCTTCATTCCTTCTCAAATTATGCTCGTAAGTTGCTCTGAGCAGAGATCCCGAAGACAAGGTACAGGAGGAGTGCCGGGAATGGCAGATAGGTAGCGGTCATCATCATGCTCACGCGCAGCTAAGGCCATTGGCCTGCTCAAAGAGAGGCACCGCCGGTTGCTGGAAGTGTTACCCTAAACCCTAAACCCTCAACCCTCAACCCTAAACCCTAAACCCTAAACCCTAAACCCTAAACCCTAAACCCTAAACCCTTAACCCTGCCCTTCCCCTTTCCGTGTTGATGCATTTTCGAAGCCGGGTGAGGGTTCCTCAGATTGGGGGCCCCAAGGGATTCCCGAGGGAGATCTGCGAGCTCAGGGGTTTAAGGTTAAGGGGTTTAGGGTTTAGGGTTTAGGGTTTAGGGTTTAGGGTTTAGGGTTTAGGGTTTAAGGTTAAGGGCCTACAGACTGGAGGTGCTAGAGGGGCCTTAATGCTTAGAATAGGG